CAGATGGGGACCGTCCGAGGAGATATAAATAAAACATTCTTGTGGTGCAGAGCAGCCGCAGGGGGCTGGGAACCCCCATCAATTGGAGGTTTGGTGAGGTGTCTGCTCAGCAAGAGTATGTATGTGTGTGTGTGTGTGTGTGTGTGTGTATGTGTATGTGTGTGTGTATGTGTGTGTGTTCGTTCCAGCTACCACCTACACTAGATAGAATGAAAAACACTTCTCCCATCCCCCAGCCTCTTGTAAAAGGAGAGCCAACTCTGAACTGTGTCAGAGGGTTTGGCCTGTGGCTGCGCTTGGAGATGCCAAATTCCACACTTTCGTGCCTCCTTGTTCTGGGAGGACTGGACGTCCTCGAAGGAGGCTGTGTGGCTTGTGCACACCACAGGGCTTGGAGTGTCACGGACTACTGGGGTAGAACTGGACACGTGATCAATGACAGGTCACTGGCTGTCTCTGTCTCCATTTCCCTGACTGTATAATGGAGAATTTAGATGCTTTCCAAGATCCATTCCAGCTCTCACGTCTCTGGTTCTTACTCTGTCTCTTCCCACCCCTGATTTCACCCTGGTGACATCACTGCTGCTGCACGTTTGGGCGCTGAAAGTTTTGCCTCATCTCTTGGCATCCTGGGATCTTGCCTCCATGCAGGACTTTTGTCAGGGTTCCAGGGGCCCCAGCCATCCTTCTGTGCCCCTTTCACCACACCAGGAGTCAGCAAGCGCCTTACACTTTGTGGGGACTCTGCAGGGATGCAGAGTGAGCGCAGTTGGTGGAGTCAGGACGTTGGGAGAGGGACAAGCCAGCACAGGTCCAGGGGCTGCTTCCCACTTGCCTGAGCCATTGCTCCTGAAGGAGTCTCCTTCTGATGACAGAATCCCTTCCTCCCCCAGCCCTGGAAGTGCTTTCCAGTAATATGCCTCCTACCCGTGGGCAGGGAGCCAAGAGTGGATCTCAGACCTTTCTCATCAGCCTGGCCCGGCCCGGCCCGGCCCGGCCCTCCCCTCGGGTCCAGAGAGCCCATCAGGGCCTAAAGCTCCTTCAGCTCACTGAGTGCCAGAGCCAAAACAGGAAAGCCGGGGAAACCAGCTCCGGGAACATGGCTCCAGCCCCAAGTACTCTGGAGCTGGCTGAAGGAGAAAGAGGTCGCTGTGCTGTAGTCAGGAGGCGCAGGACCCAGTCGTGGTTGGCCTGGCTGAGTGCATCCAGCCTCCTCTCAGAGCTTGCTTTTCTTGTGTCCAATAGGAATGCCAGCTGTCTGTTCACCTGGTCATAGAAGCTCCAAGGGCTGGAATAGCATGGCCCTCCCCATTAGCTGCTCACGGAGGTTCAGAGTCTGAGTCACCTCAATATCTTCAGTGTCCAATATGGCCTGGCTCAGAGAAAATACCGAGCTGTCAGTGTCCAATATGGCCTGGCTCAGAGAAAATACCGAGCTTTGAGTAAAGAATTAATTAGCATTCTCTGCTACAGGTTTGAGACACCTAAGCTAGAATAGAGGTCCTCCCTTAGACACTGGCGAAGCGGCATAACCTTGCCGACCTCAGATTTGTCTTCTGCAAAATGGAGGCAATACCTATCCCAAGGACTGTGGTGAGAACTGAATGAGATGGTGTGTGCCAGGCTCCCAGCACAGTTCTGGCTCATGGGACACCCTCAGAGCTGAGGAGCCGCCTTTATGTTGCTGCTCTTGGCTTGTTTCACATGCCTGCCCCCTCCCCAGGCAGGAGCTGTGGCCAACTCTTCTCTGGGTCTCCTAGGCACTGTCTGGCGATTTATGGGGCCAGAAAAGCTCTGTGGATTGGGCTGATGGCACAGAGTGGGGGTAGGAGGCATTTTTAGAGCCTGACCTCTTAGGTGGAGGTGGAAGCCATCATCTGCCTGCCCTGGACTCTCTTTAGACTCTGCCTTCTCCTAAGGCAGCTCTTGGTGCTCACGCCAGGTCAGGGGCAGGGAGGCTGTGGAGGGGGCCAGCATGCAGCTGGCTGGAGCTGGACTTCTGGCCTTGGGAAGGTGCTTTCTGGCCCCTGCCTTGAAGGAGCTCTGCTCCCCTAAATCTTCATCCTGCTTATCTCCCCTGTGCTGTACCTGTCTCCCCTCCAGCACACTGCAGGTCTTTGGGGTGTGGTGCCATTGTCTTACCCCAGCTGCTTCTGCCTGGGTTGTCTGACTGATCTCAGTGGGTGCCAGGAAGAAAGATAGGAACCTGGGAGATGACTGCAGATTGAAGGCTATGAGAGAGGGAGGCACCAGAAGATTCCTGCCCTAACCTGGGCAGACAGGTGGTGGTCAGAGAATACTTCCTGGAGGAGGAGGCAGGCAGAGGATATGATGTCAGCCACATACAGTGGGGGTAGGGGTAGAGGAATGATTTCTAGAGAGGAACTAGACTAGGCGAAGGTTGGCAGGCAAAAGAGGATGTGGCTCATATGGGGCAATTGCAAGGAATTTGGCAAGGCTGAAACCTAAGAGTTGACAGTGGGGAGAATGGGACATGAGGCAAGACCAGATGACAGAGGCCGTGCTGAAAACGTGGGCTTTATCCTCTACAGCAAGAGAGACTTGGGCCCAACATGACTAGCCCTTCCCAGTGGACCAGCCAGCTACACACTGGATGTTGACTGGTGGACAGTACAAAGACTGGGGTACTTTTCAGCAAAAGAGGTGATTTTGGAATTATTTTCGCTTTTATTGATGTGGAAAGTAGATGAACAAAAAGTGACTTTTGGTCATGTCTATTTTGAAATCAGGAGATTGCACATGGTGCCTTCGAGGTCCTCTTGACCTAGGATGGCGATGTCTTTTTTTCCCAATGTGTTTTGAGTGTCCCAGGGTGCTTGGCATTGTGCCAGGATTCTGGGCCTGGATAGTGTTCAGTGTGTGAACTTTTTTTTTTTCTTTTCTTTTTTTTTTTTTTTGAGATGGAATCTTGCTCTGTTGCCCAGGCTGGAGTGCAATGGCGCAATCTCAGCTCACTGTAACTTCCACCTCCCAGGTTCAAGCAATTCTCCTGTCTCAGCCTCCCAAGTAGCTGGGACTACAGGTGCCGGCCACCATGCCTGGCCAATTTTTATATTTTTAGTAGAGACAGTGTTTCACCATATTGGTCAGACTCGTCTTGAACTCTTGACCTCAGGTGATCCACCCACCTTGGCCTCCCAAAGTGCTGGAATTACAGGCGTGAGCCACTGTGCCCAGCCAGCAGTGTGAACTTTGACTTGTCACTGTACTAGCACTGCCCAGATTCCTACCTGAGAGTAGGAAGGGCTTTGGGCATGGAGAGGGAAGTTCCTCCTCTGTCCCAAGGATCTCAAGAGTAAGTAATGAGAGCAGAGGCCTGGCCAGGCATGCAGGTTATCGGAAATCTTGGGTGATGTCCCAGCCCTGTGTATTTTCAAGTCAGCCAGTATTTGTTGAGCACCTCTAGTGTCTTAGCCCTGGGTGTATAATGATAAGCAGTTACGAGATCTGCCTGCACAGAGCTTGCAAGATAGGGAAGGAGAGGAGAAAGAGCCTTGCTTTTGTTTATTTATTTATTTATTTGAGGCTGGGCTCAAGTGATCCTCCTGCCTCAGCCCTCCTGACTAGTTGGGACTACAGGCGCACACCATGCCCAGCTATTTTTTTTTTTTTAAGTGGAGATGAGGTCTCCTATGTTGTACAAGCTGGTGTCAAATTATTGACCTCAAGTGATCCTCCCACCCCAGCCTCCTAAAGTGCTGGAATTACAGACATGAGCCACCGTGCCAGGCCAGAGAGAACTTTCCTCTTGAGCAAAGGGTCATGACTATGACTATGACTCTTGACTCTGCCACCCCTAGGAGCATGGTACCCAACATACAACTAGATGCTCAGGTTTTTCCACCTACTTTCCCACCCCAAAACAAAACAAACAATAGAAACCATTCACAGGAGCTCAGGGTTCTCTGGTCATACCTGGTATTGAGAGAGGCCCCTCTCATGGGGATTTTTGCTACTTCTCAGCTCTGGGTTTGGAGCCTCAAGGTGGAATACAGCAGAGCGGCCTGCTGCTGGCCAGGACGCGGCCTGGGGAGATGGCTGGTGGGTCTTAGGCAGAAGGGTGTGTGAGGAGGCCTTGATGGAAGGGAAGGATAGGCGAGCTTGAATTACAGAACTGTGCAGTTTGATGGGAACTGGGGCATCAGACCTAGGTTCTATCTGGTTCTGCTCCCCATTTGCTGTGTGACTTTGGGCAAGTCCCTTCCCTTTTCTGAGCCTTAGTTGCCCCATCTTTAAAGTGGGTGGCATTGAGCTAGTAGTGGGATAGCAAATAGATTTTATCTCACCTGCCAAACCTGGTTGCCATTGGCGTCCTTGAGCCATGTCTCAGGCAGCTGCCTGGACTCAGCTGGAAAGCCTACTCTTTTGCAGGTTTGCAGACCCCAGGCCTTATTATCCCCAAGTTCCTTCCCACGCTGGTATTCTTAGATTCTTCTGTGCTTTCTTCTGTCTCCTATGCCACTCCCCACCAGCTGGTTGTCTGCCTTCTGCTTAAACAGCTCCGTGATAGGGAACTGCCATCTTCCCTCAGACAGAATTATTAGATCGTTATTCCTCAGGTTGAGCTCAGATCTGCCTCCCTGAACTTGTGCCTGGAATAATGCCTTGGGTTCAGGCGTAGGTGATGCCCGTAGGTACTTGGCACGTCAGTAATCAATTTATAATTTCTGCCTTCTGGAGGCATATAGAACTGCTACTTGATAACATTTTATGACAGCGACAGAGATAGCATGTATGTATCCTTTGAAAAAAGTGCTTTAAAAACACTGTCACTTGGTTTATGATGGCAAACCTGTGAAGCTAGCATTGTCCCTTCCAGGCGAGGAAGCAGCGGCTCAGAGAGTTAACAGAGCAGCCCTCTGAGACCCAGCCTGTGCACCTCTGGCCAGCTGCGCTCCTCATCCCCGGCCCGTGCCCAGCCTTCTGTTCTCCCGGCTCCTCCGAAAGCCCATGGCCTCCCGTTCTCTCGCCCTCCGCAGGTTTCCATGTGATCCCCACTATCTCAAGCATCGTCCCGGAGAGCTGCCTGCTGATCGTGGTGGGGCTGCTGGTGGGGGGCCTGATCAAGGGTGTAGGCGAGACACCCCCCTTCCTGCAGTCCGACGTCTTCTTCCTCTTCCTGCTGCCGCCCATCATCCTGGACGCCGGCTACTTCCTGCCGCTGCGGCAGTTCACAGAAAACCTGGGCACCATCCTGATCTTTGCCGTGGTGGGCACACTGTGGAACGCCTTCTTCCTGGGCGGCCTCATGTACGCCGTGTGCCTGGTGGGCGGTGAGCAGATCAACAACATCGGCCTCCTGGACAACCTGCTCTTCGGCAGCATCATCTCGGCCGTGGACCCCGTGGCGGTTCTGGCTGTCTTTGAGGAAATTCACATCAATGAGCTGCTGCACATCCTTGTCTTTGGGGAGTCCTTGCTCAATGACGCCGTCACTGTGGTGAGGAGGCCAGGGGCCATGCCCATGTCCAAACGGTACAAACCCGAATCCAGGCCTAGCAGTGAATCCCTCATCCGCTCGTTAATAACAGTAATAAAAACAGCTGGGGCCGGGCACGGTGGCTCAAGCCTGTAATCCCAGCACTTCAGGAGGCCGAGGTGGGTGGATCACGAGGTCAGGAGATCGAGACCATCCTGGCTACCACGGTGAAACCCCGTCTCTACTAAAAATACAAAAAATTAGCTGGACGTGGTGGCGGGCGCCTGTAGTCTCAGCTACTCGGGAGGCTGAGGAAGGAGAATGGCGTGAACCCAGGAGGTGGCGCTTGCAGTGAGCTGAGATCTGGCCACTGCACTCCAGCCTGGGTGACAGAGCGAGACTCTTTCTCAAAAAAAAAAAAAAAAAAAAAAACACAGCTAAGGCCCATTTCCCCTTCCTGAGTGCCAGGGACCATGCTGAGCCGTTTGGCATGGATTATCTCATTTAAGTCCTCATGGCTGCCTTAGGAGGTGCTTATTATTCTCATTTTCCAGGGGAGGACACAGTCCCAAAGAAGTTAAATAACCTGCTGGAGTATGAACCAGTTTGTGATTGAACCAGGTCTATCTGACTCCAGGGCCTAAACTCTTGGTTTTGCTAGGTTATATGCTCTCTCCTTGACTTGACTTGCTTTTTGTTTTTTAAGAGACAGGGTTTTGCCCTGTCTCCTAGGCTGGTGAAATGGTATGGTCATAACTCACTGCAGCCTCAACTACCTGGGCCTGAGATCCTCCTGCCTCAGCCTTCCGAGTGGCTAGGACTACAGGCATGCAGCACCACACCTGGCTAATTTTTTAAATTTTTTGTAGAGATGGGGTTTGACCATGTTACCCAGGCTGGTCTTGAACTCTTGGCCTCAAACAATCCTGCCTCAGCCTCCCAAAGTGCTGAGATTACAGACCTGAACCAACAAGCCTGGCCCGTCACTTGCATTTTGATGTGATCTTGGGCAAATTACTTTTACTCTCTGTGCCTCAGTTCCCTCTTCACAGACCATGTCATCTGTGAGGGGTCTTTCAGCTCTCATGTTGGCTGTATCTTAAGTTAGAATTCGGTTTGTGCACAGTTTTTGGGCAGAGATTGTGGAAAGGGACCTTGTCTCCAAAACATCTAGAAGGTGATAAGTAAAATAAGTTGGCCACTTGCTTGCTGTGCAACCTTAAGCAAATGCTATACCTCTGTGGCCCTCACCTTTTTTTTTTTTTTCTGAGACAGAATCTTGCTCTGTCTCCCAGACAGGAGTGCAGTGTTGCAATCTCAGCTCACTGCAACCTCCGCCTCCCAGGTTCAAGCAGTTCTCCTTCCTCAGCCTCCCAAGTAGCTGGGATTACAGGCGTGTGTCACCATGCCCAGCTAATTTTTGTGTTTTTAGTAGAGACCGGGTTTCGCCATGTTGGCCAGGCTGATCTCGAACTCCTGACCTCAGGTGATCCACCCACCTCAGCCTCCCAAAGTGCTGGGATTACAGGCGTGAGCCACCGCGCCCAGCCGGCCTCACCTTTGATAGCTGCGAAGTGGCAGACGATGAGTGCTTTCGTTCAGGATCTGCACGTGGTGGCGCCATATACACCTGCACATGCCCTTCCTCCCAGCTGGTTTCCTTGGGAAACAGATGTGTGCATGTGCCTATTCAAACATTGTGTTGTGAGAACACTTCCACCCCCTCCTGAGCTGTCCCCCTCAGAGCAGCTGCACTCACAGGAAAGCTCAAGGGCACATGTGCATGTCCAGGCCATGACTCCCTCCTCGGCAGCCCCAGCCCTCAGGAAGCAGCACCTCAGAGTAGAGACAGACTGTGGTGTTCGGCTGCTGGCAGCCTCAGCTTCCTGTTCCTACCTGGCCTCCTCATGAGGCTGGGTAGAGCAGCAGCCTGGCCTGAGCAGGGAGGCCTCCGTCCTGGCTTCCTCTAGCACAGGCTGTTGCCCAGGGTTACCACATGAGCCTCAGTTTCCCCATCTGTGACATAGAGATTGCAGTACTCAGCCTGTCATCCTCCCAGGCTTCTTACAGGGTTACTTACGTTAGTGAGTCATACTCACTGATGTCTGTGAAGCCAGTGGGTGCCAAAGATAAAGCCCTCTCCAGTGGGATCTGGGTGTTGGGGTTCAGGTGAGCACTGCTGTGGAGCTTGGGGCATGGTTGCATCAAGCAGGTAACAGACCCAGCCACTTGTGGACCCACGGTCGTGTCTCCCAAAGGCAGTGGCAGTGGTGGTAGTGATTGCTGGTGTTCACTGGGTGCTTCCTGTCTGAATGTGTATTGCCTCATTTTTATTTATTTGTTTAGAGACAGAGTCTCCTTCTGTCACACAGACAGTGTCACCCAGGAGTGCAATGGCACAATCATAGCTCACTGCAGCCTCAAACTCCTCAAATGATCCTCCCCTCTTAGCCTCCGGAGTAGCTGGGACTGCAGGTGCTGGCCATCACACCCAGCTAATGTATTTATTTGTTTATTTTGTAGATATGGGGTCTCATTATATTGCCTGGGCTGGTCTCAATCTCCCAAGCACAAGTGATGCTCCCTCCTTGGCCTCCCAGAGTGCTGAGATTACAGGCGTGAGCCTTGGTGCCTGGCCTGTGTTGCCTCATTTAATCTGTACAGTAACTCCATGAGGTTGACACAGTTATATCCCAGTTTTTTGAGATGAGGAAACTGAGGGACAGAGAGGTTACATTAGCCTGATATATGATATAGCTGAGGTTCAAATCCGTAGTCTGAATCCAAAGCCCAAGTGCTTACCACTGTGTTACTCTGCTTCTCTGTAGTTCCAGGGATAATAGCACCAGGCCGGAAAGGAGGACTTTCCCCTCAGTGCCCACTCCATGGGCCCATGTGGTAGACCATGAGGACCCATGAATCCCCTCAGGCCAGGAATGAGTTTAGGTAGCCCACGGCTGAGCATGCCCCTGCTAAGAGGCTGTCTGCTGCTGGAGCCCTGCCCTATCCCCCAGACGGCTGGGGCCAGGCAGCACCAGGTCTGGCCAGTGCTCTGCATCTCCCCTTCCTGCCTGGCCCAAGTCAGGTCTGTCTGGAGCTCTGAGCACGGGTGTGAGTGCCCCATTTCCCAGAGAGTAAAGCCGGAGGCCGACCCTGAGCTGCCTGGTCTCAGGTCTGTGCCCTAGACAGGTCACTCCTCACAGTCCATTCCTCCTGCTCCAGGTCCTGGGGGCTTTGGAGGGTTCCCTGTCATGGATCCTCAAGTCCTCCCCTCCCTTCCCCCAAGCCTGGAAAGTCCCTGCTGCTTCCTGACAGAGCTGTCTAGGACAGCCTTGAGCTAGGCAGCTCAGGGACCCAGCAACAGGTGGGGCAGACCCTCAAAGCCGAGCCTGCTAAGGAGGCCTCAGCCATGGCTGTCAGGGAACAAGTTCTGGGCCCCGTGCTGCTCCTGGGCTGGGGGCCCCCTGGCATGTTGTTTTACCACTGTGAGCCTCAGTTTAGCAAAGGATCATCCTTGACCCACCTGCCTCACATGGTGGTTGAGTGTCGACTTGGATAAAGACCATCAAAGGGCTTTACAGCATATGAAGTGCCACTTAAACGTCTGACAGTAGGGTTGCAGTGACCATCTGTTTCCCAGTCCAGGAGACAGGGGCACCTTAGCGAGCCTCTAATTCCATAGCATCTGAACTTGGCTGTTCATTGCAATCCCTGGGGGGCTTGTTACATAGAGATTTCTTGGCCCTATCCCAGAGAGTCCAAGTCCAGTATGGCCTGAACATATGTATTTTCAGAAAGCTCCAGAGGTTAGGAAATCACCTTCTAGTTCGTTGTGTGAATGTCCCTTTTTTGTGCTGAAGGAGGGACTGAAACCCAGTGAAGGGTATGACATACCCAAGGTCAGGCAGTGAGAGGCAGACTTGGTAGCACCAGGTGTGGCTAACACTGGCATCAGGTAAGGATCCGAGCACTTGATTCACTGATTTAGTCCTCACAGCAGTCCTAAAAGTTGGCATTATTATCCTCATTTTATAGACGGAGAAAACTGAAACACAGGAAGATGAATTTGCTTCCTTTACACAGCTCAGGAGAGGCAGAGCCAGGATTCCAGTCCAGGCAGTTTGGCTTCAGGGTCTTCACAGAGCTCCCCAGAGTCCACCCTTCACCAGTGTGGCACGTGGCCGGCCCAGAGCAAGCCACGCCCCGCAGCCCCAGGCTGAGGTTTTGAGCACCTCCTTGGCACTAGGGTTTCTCTGCTACCGTGTGGCCTCTTCTTGTGGCCATGGTTAACGGAGGGGACAGGATCGCCCTGGGTGGACCCCAGGGAGCCGTGGGGCCAGTGCCCTCTCCTCTCACCCACCAGCCTACACACCCTCCCCAGGTCCTGTATCACCTCTTTGAGGAGTTTGCCAACTATGAGCACGTGGGCATCGTGGACATCTTCCTCGGCTTCCTGAGCTTCTTCGTGGTGGCCCTGGGCGGGGTGTTTGTAGGCGTGGTCTACGGGGTCATCGCAGCCTTCACCTCCCGATTTACCTCGCACATCCGGGTCATCGAGCCGCTCTTCGTCTTCCTCTACAGCTACATGGCCTACTTGTCGGCCGAGCTCTTCCACCTGTCAGGCATCATGGCGTGAGTCTGCGTGCAGCAGGCAGTGGGCTTGGCAGGGTGGGGACGGGGGCTGCCAGCTTGGATTCCCCAGGCTTGTAGGGTCACGGAGCTCCCAGGGCCCAGCCTTGAGCTCCAGGGATGAGACATGAGCTCCAGGCTCCAGACGTGCTTGGTAGCCATTTAAATGGCCGAGGGCATCAGTGGCTTCCTAGAAGAGGGGCACTTCTGCTAGGCACCCTGGGGTCCAGGAATCTGGAGAGAGCATTTCAGGCTATGAGCAGATGAGGCAAGAGTGACCTGCATGAGGGCAAGCCCAGAGTAGATGAGAGCAGAGCGTTGGAAGCCACCAAGCTTCAAGCTGAGGAAAGCCACAGCCCTGCTACTTCATTTGTCTCAAAGGGAGTCCCCTTAGCAGCCCCAGTAGGAGGCTCACCAGGCCTGAGTCCTGGCAGTCCTGAGGCCCCCGCCAGGTCTGGAAATGGGGAGAATGGGGTGTGGAGAGGCAGTGAGGGGCGAACGCCGAGGCAAGGCAGAACTGGGGTTCAGGACCCCTGGCTTGCAGGAGCAGAGCCTGGGTGTGAGTGCTGGGCTGGGAGGACCCCGAGCTCCAAGCAGCTGCTTGGAACAAAGCTCCCTGTGGAGACCCCCGTGCAGATGCCACCCTTGAGGGGAAGAAACCCAGGAGACCATGGGCCTGTGTCATTGACTTCTGTTGGGTCAAGTGGCAGCGTGGCCTTGGGGCAAAGGTGCAGGCTTTGGAGTTGGACACAGTGTGGTTTGTGTGTCTTGCCTTTGCTACCTGCAGGCAGCGTGACGGGACAGGTGACTATTTCTCTTAGAATCAGATTTCTCTCTTTTTTTTTTCTTTTTGAGACGGGATCTCACTCTGTCACCCAGACTGGAGTGCAGTGGCACAATCTCAGCTCACTACAGCCTCCACCTTCTGGGTTCAAGAGATTCTCCCACCTCAGCCTCTCAATTACGTGGGATTACAGGTGCCCACCACCGCGCCCAGCTAATTTTTGTATTTTTAGAAGAGACTGGGTTTCACCACGTTGGCCAGGCTGGTCTCAAATTCCTGGTCTCAAGTGAGCTGCCTGTCTCCGTCTCCCAAAGTGCTGGGATTACAGGCGTGAGCCACCGTGCCCAGCCAAGATCACTCATTTTAAAAATGGAGGAATAGACCCGTGTCTGTAGGGTTGATGTGAGGATGAGTGGCAACAGGGTGTAAAGCACACAGCGGGCCCCTGGCCCATAGGGGAGCTCGGAACACAGGCACCTTGGTCATGGTCCCATTGCCCCTGGCAGCGGAGGGGCTCGGGCAGGTGCAGCTCAACGTGGAGCCCTGACCCTGCTCTTTCCTGCCGCAGGCTTATAGCCTCGGGAGTGGTGATGCGCCCCTATGTGGAGGCCAACATCTCCCACAAGTCCCACACCACCATCAAATACTTCCTGAAGATGTGGAGCAGCGTCAGCGAGACCCTCATCTTCATCTTCCTTGGCGTCTCCACGGTGGCTGGCTCCCACCACTGGAACTGGACCTTCGTCATCAGCACCCTGCTCTTCTGCCTCATCGCCCGCGTGCTGGGTGAGGGCCAGGGCTGGGGTGGGGGGGGGTGTGGTGTGTGTGGGAGGTGGTGGGCTGTGGTGCTGTGTGCATGGGGTGTGTAATGCACTATGTGGAAGGGCCAGGCTATGTGGTGTGTGCATGTGGTGCAGTGTGGATTGTGTGGAGGGGCTGGGCTATGTCGTGTGTGTACGTGTATTGCGTGTGTGGTGCGTGTAGTGCATTGTTGGGGGCTGGATGTGTGTGTGGTGTGTATGTAGTGTTGTGTGGAGGGGTTGGGGGTGTGTGTGTGTAGTATGTTGTGTGAAGGGGCTTTGTATATGTGTGTGTGCTGTGTGGAGGGGTTGGGCTATGGTGCAGTGTGTGTGTATGGTGTGTTGTGTGGAAGAGCTTTGTGTGTGTGTTGTGTGTGTGTAGGGGCTGGGTGTGTGTGTAGGGGTTGTGTGTGTTTGTGTGTAGGGGCTGGGTGTATGTAGGGGTTGTGTGTGTTTGTGTGAAGGGACTGGGTGTGTATAGTGTGTTGTGTGGAGGGGCTTTGAGTGTGTGTGTGTGGGGGCTGGGGGTGTGTGTGAGGGGCTAGGGGTGTGTGTATGTAGTGCGTTGTGTGGAGGGGCTTTGTGTGTGTGGACGGGCTGGGGTGTATTTGGAGGGTTGGCAATGTGTGTATGTCTGGAGGGGCTGGGTGTGTGTGTGTGTGGAGGGGCTGGGTGTGTAGGAGCTGGGAGTGTGTGGAGGGGCTGGGTGTGTGTGGAGGAGCTGGGAGTATGTGTGTAGGGGCTGGGTGTGTGTGTAGGGGCTGGGTGTGTGTGTGTGTAGGGGTTAGGGGTGTGTGTGTGTGGATGGGGCTGGATGTGTGTGTCTAGGGGCTGGATGTGTGTGTAGGGGCTGGATGTGTGTGTGAAGGAGTTGGGTGTGTGTGGGTGTGTGTGTGGAGGGGCTGGGTGTGTGTGTGGAGGGGCTAGGTGTGTATGTATGCGGAGGGGCTGTGTGTGTGTTGGGGAGGTGCTTTGTGTCGGGAGGAGCTGGGTGTGTCTGTGGAGGGGCTGGGGTGTCTGGAGGGGCTGGGGTGTGTGTCTGGAGGGGCTGGGGGGTGTGTCTGGAGGGGCTGGGGTGTATGGCTGGAGGGGCTGGGGTGTGTGGATGGGCTGGGTGTGTGTGTGTGCTGTAGGGGTTAGGGGTGTGTGTGTGTGGAGGGCTGGGTGTGTGTGTGGATATGGGCTGGTGTGTATGTATGTGGGGGGCCTGTGGTATGTGGTGTGGGAGAGGCCTGGGTGTGGTGTGTGTTACGGGGCTGAATGGTCATGTGTGTAGGGGCTGGTCGTGTGGGCTGGTGTAGGGGTTGGGTATTGTGTGTGTGTGGAGGGCTGGGTGTGTGTGGAGTGGTGTGTGTACGGGGCTGAACTGGGTGTGGTGTGGTAGGGGCTGGGGGTGTGTGTGGTGTGTAGGGGCTGAATGTGTGTGTGTGTGGTGTTGTAGGGTGTTCTAGGGTTTTTTTTTTTTTGGTGTGTGTGGTGTGTGTAGTGGGCTGGGTTGTGTGTGGGTGTGTTGTGTATGTAGGGCTGGGGGTGGTGCGTGTGTGTAGGGGCTGGTGTTGTTGGTGGTGTGGTGTGTAAAGGGCTGAATGGTATGTGTGTGTAGGGGCTGGGTGTGTGTGTAGGGTTGGGTATGTGTGTGTGTGGAGAGCCTGGCGTGTGGGAGTGTGTTGTGTGTGGGGGCTGGGTTGGGTGTGTGTGGTAGGGCTGGGGGTGTGTGTGTGTTTTGTAGGGGGGTTAGGTTCGTGTGTAGGCGCTGGGTTGTGTGTGGGAGTGTGTGGTGGTTAGAGCTGGGTGTTGTGGGAGTGTGTGTGTAGGGGCTGAAGTGGCTGTGTTGTGTGTAGTAGGGGCTGGGGGGGTGTGTGTGTGTAGGGCTGGGTGTTGTGTGGGTGTGTTAGGGCTGGGGTGTGTGTGTGTGTAGGGGCTGGCTGTGTGTGGTTGCGGTGTTCGTGTGTAGGGGATGAATGCTGTGGTGTGTGTTGTGTTATGTTGGTAGGGGGCGTGGGCGGTGTGTGATGTGTTGTGGTGTGTGAGGGCTGGGTGCGGTATATGCTGTGATGCAGTTTGTGGTGGAGGCTTCCTGATTGGCTCCTGCCTGCTCCCAGCACAGCTAGACAGGAGGGGCTTCCCGTTTCCATGATGGGCCCTTGAGCTGGGAGAAGCCTGTGTCACAGCAAGGCTGTAGTCTCTGGAGACAGAGTCAACTGTGTCAAAGTGAGGGGGCCCTGAGACTCTGAGCCTGTGGCTGTCCTGACAAGGGGCCTGAGGCCCACAGAACATAGGTCTGTGACTCTGAGCTGAGTGCTGTCTGCACTGTCTCAAGCACAGGTGACGTGAGCACGTGCTGAACCGTGTGCAGAGCCACATGCAGTCCTCCAAACCTATGCGGCAGGCTGGGGCACACGTGGGGACCGGGCCCCAGGTGCATGGGTTCCACTCACATGTGCCCCACGTACCTCACCCCAGTGCCTCCGTCGCCTCCTCCTGGATCTCTCATTTCCTCTCTGAGGGTTAGGTCTGTGTCCCCATGCCTGGTGCGACCTCACATTTATTTGGTGCACTTTTGAAATCCCCTTTGTTCCTGAGCCTCATCCTCCAGGGATTCTGGTTCTGTGGGTGGAGGTTGGGCCCAGCCCTCTGCATTTTTTATGCTTTATTATGGAAAATTTCAAGTACTTAGAGAAGTAGAGAGAATAGGATCATGACCCCTCCAACATACCCGTCACATTTAACGAGTATTGACCTGGGACCCATCTTGTTTGACCTTTTCTCCCTCTTCCTGCCCCCTACCCTCCAGTCACTGGAGGCCTCCATGATGTCTCTAAAGCACATCCAGGTTGGGGAAGTCCCTTAAGGATCCACCCAGCTCTTGAATTGAGGGGTTCAGGGCACTCTGGGCTGAGGGACCCAGGAATTGAGTGAGCGGGGTGGGCTTAGTAGTGGAGACTTCCTGGATACGCAGAGAAATCACTGATGCAGAAGCTAGGAGGGACTGGGGACAGCGACCTGACCCTCATCCCCCCATCCCCTCCCCTGCAGGCGTGCTGGGCTTGACCTGGTTCATCAACAAGTTCCGCATCGTGAAGCTGACCCCCAAGGACCAATTCATCATCGCCTATGGGGGCCTGCGAGGGGCCATCGCCTTCTCTCTGGGCTACCTCCTGGACAAGAAGCACTTCCCTATGTGTGACCTATTCCTCACTGCCATCATCACCGTCATCTTCTTCACCGTCTTTGTGCAGGTGCTGGGCCAGGGCAGAGAAGGCCCTGGGGACCCTGATGCTGTTCCCGTGGAAAGAGAGGAAAGCGTGTGATTTGAAATGCGATTCTAGTCCCAGCTCCACCACTAACTTGCTGAGTGACCTTGGGCAAGCCACTCCCCCTTTCTGGGCCTCAGTTTCTTCAGTCATAAAATGAGAATTGTGATGAGTCATTGCAGAGTGACTGATCAAAATGTAAAGGAACCAGAATGCTGCCCAACTTAATTTGGAACTCATAGAGCATTAAGAGAAGTGGGTACTGGCCGGGCGTGGTGGCTCACGCCTGTAATCCCAGCACTTTGGGAAGCTGAGGGGGTGGATCACCTGAGGTCAGGAGTTTGAGACCAGCCTGACCAACATGGTGAAACCCTGCCTCTACTAAAAATACAAAATTAGCTGGGTGTGGTGACGCATGCCTGTAATCCCAGCTACTTGAGAGGCTGAGGCAGGAGAATCACTTGAACCCGGGAGGCGGAGGTTGCAGTGAGCTGAGATCGCGCCATTGCACTTCAGCCTGGGCAAGAGTGAAATTCCATCTCAAAAAAAAAAAAAAGAGAGAAGTGGGTACAGTCAATAGGCCCAAGATCTCTCTTTGCTACCAACTCATTGTAGAGCTTTAGGCAAGAGATTTCATATCTTAGGGTCTCAGTTTCTGCATCTGTAAAATGGGAGTAATATCACAGCATGGGGAACTGGAAAGGGCTCTGAGATAGGCAGCAGGAAGCCTGGAGTCAGCCCTAGCTCTGTGTTGGCGTCCATTTGACCCTAAGAAAGACCCCCTGCTTCTCTGGGTCTCAGTTCCCATCTATAAAGTGAGGGAACTGGGTGAGATGATTCCCAAGAATCCTTCCAGCCTGCTGGTCAGTGATTTCTGTGCATTTAACTGGCCCAGGCTTAGCTGAGAGCCACTTTCCTGCCTAAGGTCCCCAAGGACACCCAGCCTGTGATGGTGCAAATTGCTCTTCCTTACCTGACTTTGTCTGACCTTGGGCAAATGAGAAACACTCTGTCTGAGCCTCCATTTCTTTACCATCCCTTCTGTCTTTTCTGGGCACTGATCCTCAAAAAGCCCTAGATGGGATACATCCTTGCGTTCTCTCGAGAAAAAAAGATAGGGGAAACCTGGGGCTGGGCTTATTTTCTGTCCTTTAAAGGGAGAGGGGACCCTGGTGCAGTGGCTCACGCCTATAATCCCAGTACTTTGGGAGGCGTAGGCAGGAGGATCCTTTGAGCCCAGGAGTTCAAGAGCAGCCTAGGCAACATGGCAAGACCTTGTCTCTACAAAAAAATTTAAAAAATAGGCAGGTGTGGTGGTGCACGCCTATAGTCCCAGCTACTTGGGAAGCTGAGGTAGGAGGGGATAGCTTGAGCGCAGGAGGTTAAGGCAGCTGTTAGCTGTGATTGCGCCACTGTACTCCTCCAGCCTGTGTAACAGAGTGAGACTCTGTCTCGAGTTAAGAAAAAGGAGAGAGGCTGGGCATGGTGGCTCATGCCTGTAATCCCAGCAATTTGGGAGGCTGAGGCAGGCGGATTGCCTGAGGTCAAGAGTTTGAGACCAGCCTGGCCAACATAGTGAAACCCTGTCTCTACTAAGAATACAAAAAGTAGCTGGGTGTGATGATGGGCGCCTGTAATCCCAGCTACTCGGAGGCTGAGGCAGGAAAATTGCTTGAACCCGGGAGGCAGAGATTGCAGTGAGTCAAGATCATGCCACTGCACTTCAGCCTGGGCAACAGCACGACTCCATCTCAAAAAAAAAAAAAAAGAAAAGAAAAGAAAAAGGAGAGGAGGAGGCTGCTACTTTTGTCCTCTTGCACTGCTTCCGTCTTCAAAAATATTTTTTTCACTTTGATTTTACAAGTTGGTTGTGCTAATGATTTTCCAAGCCCATTTTCATTGAAGGCAGCACTGGGGAGGGGGCCTCCCTTCAGAGCCAGCCTGCCTGGGTTTGAACCATGGCTTTACTGCTTCTGTGGAATCTTAGAAAGCTGCTTAACCTCTCTGAGCCTCAGTTTCTGCATCTGTTAAATAGGGACAATGGAAGGACCTGCCTTTTAGTGTGTGGGTATTAGAGAGCTGATGCTAGAACACTTCCAAGCACATGTGTTGGTCACATGGCAGGTGTGCAGTTCCATCCACTGCTGCTGTTATTACTTGGTCCTTCTCGCAGTCCTGGTAGGGAGGCAGTGCAGAGGTGGTTTTCCCTGTGTGTGGGGCCTGACTTCCTTGGGGTTGTAGAGCGAGTCTGCGGTGCTGTCTACATCTGAACCCAGGCTGGCTGCTGCCTGGCCCAGGCCAGATGACCAGCATGCGGGTCATTTGGCAGTGAAACCTCTGCCCGTGTCTCCAGGAAGAAGCAGGCCTTAAGGACTTGTCTTTAGATAAGTGCCGGGAGGTGGGAGAGTTCTCACACCCTTGGGTCCTGGGAGAGGGCAAAGCAGAGAGGGCATCCTAGCCTTGGGGGTCTCGGGTGGGCATAGGGAGGCTCCGTGGTCTCCCTGCTTGGGTAGCAGAACTAGAGTGCCTGACATCTGCCTGCCTCCCAGGGCATGACCATTCGGCCCCTGGTAGACCTGTTGGCTGTGAAGAAAAAGCAGGAAACGAAGCGCTCCATCAACGAGGAGATCCACACGCAGGTACTGGAGTGCGGGCTGGGCCCTCAGTTGCAGGAGGAGGAACAGGGAGATGGGGAGCAGCTGGGCCTCATGTCCCTGCCCCGCATCAGCCGCTCCTCCCTGTGCTGGTGCCCGGGGTCTCCCTCTGCCCCAGGAGCCATAGGAAGGTGTGGTGTGAGCAGCTGGGAGCCTGAGGAGGGGGCATCATGCCATCTCTGCCTCCATTTGAGACCTGTCCTAGGCATGGATCCCGGGTGGGATTAGAGAAGGGGGCTCAGCCAGACACAGGCGAGGGTTCAAGATATCCAGAGTCAGGGCCACTGGGTTTGATGAGTGGAGTGTGGGCGCCACCTGCTGGCTGCTCATGGAACCACAGGGCTGGGCCCAGGAAGGCTGCAGCCGCAGGAGGGAGTGGGGCTAGTCAGGGGTCTTGGTAGGGAAGGTGCCCCACAGCGAGGCTTGACCTGGCCCTGGGCCCCTTTCAGTTCCTGGACCACCTTCTGACAGGCATCGAGGACATCTGTGGCCACTACGGTCACCACCACTGGAAGGACAAGTAGGTGGCAGGCCTGGTGGGCAGGCCGGGAGGGGCAGGCAAGGGTCTCCTGGGCCTGGGCATCTCCCCACTCCTGGGAGCTGGCTCCATCCATCTCCCTCGTCTCCCACCAGGCTCAACCGGTTTAATAAGAAATACGTGAAGAAGTGTCTGATAGCCGGCGAGCGCTCCAAGGAGCCCCAACTCATCGCCTTCTACCACAAGATGGAGATGAAGCAGGCCATCGAGCTGGTGGAGAGCGGGGGCATGGGCAAGATCCCCTCTGCCGTCTCCACCGTCTCCATGCAGTGAGTGCCGGGGCAACCAGGCAGCTTCTGCTCCCACACACCGGCCCCTCCAGCCCAGCTGGAGGCGGCCACCTGAGGGCAGGGCCCTCTGTTGTCCTGTTGGGGCGGACAAGAGAGCTGTGGGCTCACACTAAGGACCTGAGGCTTTGGTGCCCACCTGGGTCATCCCTAGGGTGACTTCCTTCTAGCCAAACCTGGGAGGCTTTAGGATCCCAAGAATCTTGGGGACCTAACCTATGTCCTGTTGTCCCAGGAACATCCACCCCAAGTCCCTGCCTTCTGAGCGCATCCTGCCAGCACTGTCCAAGGACAAGGAGGAGGAGATTCGCAAAATCCTGAGGAACAACTTGCAGAAGACCAGGCAGCGGGTGAGGGCCTACTTCCCAGCCCGACCCCCGGGGTACAGGAGCCCTTCAGCCCCTCTCCACGGCAGCCCTGCCCTGCCCGTGCCCCTCGGCACCCACCCCAGGGCTGGCCTGGCCTCGCCTCCAGAACTGCCCCCACCCCTCCATGACCAGAGCCTTCCGGCGCCTGCACTGCCCTGATGCTGTGCCTTCCACAGCTGCGGTCCTACAACAGACACACGCTGGTGGCGGACCCCTACGAGGAAGCCTGGAACCAGATGCTGCTCCGGAGGCAGAAGGCCCGGCAGCTGGAGCAGAAGGTAGCCTCTGCCTTTCTCTGGGAACCTGTATCCCACCCCACTCACCCAAGCTCCGCCACAGCCTCTGCGGAAATGTACCCATTCTAGGAACAGGGTTTGGCTTTCGAGGGGCTTGTTGGCCGTGTAAGGGCATGGAGAGCCATGAAGAGTTCTAAGCAAGGGATTGGCGTGGGGGTGTGGGGTGTGGCCTGGTTTAGGGCAGTGGCAGGGGACAGAGGAATGGGTGGATTTAAGGCTGGGCAGTGTAGGTGTGTTGAGGGAGGCTGTGACAGGAGCCTGGGTTGAGCCCTCAGGAGCTCCTGAAGGGCCAGTACGGCTGCCCACACAGGCACAAGGGACGGGGAGCGAGCGCCCCGCATACACGGAAGGTGGGGTGGCAGTGGCCGGGTTCTGTCCTGAGGGGCTCCCTCTGCCCAGCTGCCTGTGCTCACCCCGTCTGTCCTCTCTGTCAGATCAACAACTACCTGACAGTGCCAGCCCACAAGCTGGACTCGCCCACCATGTCTCGGGCCCGCATCGGCTCAGGTAAGGGCCTGGTGAGGGGCCTCAGGTCTGGGCGCTCCCAGCCGCCGCCTCCTGAGGATGGGGCTCCACAGGAACAGGCCCCAGCCACTGGGAGGACAGGCCTGGCCCTCGCTGACCTCAGGGGCCCCTCCCAAGCCATGAGCTGCTTCTACGTCAGGGGCCATCCCTAGGGACAGAGACGTTCTGGATGAGGACTGTGTGGGGAGCTGGGAGAGCCATGGTGCCTGGCAGGAAGGCAGGGTATCTGCCCCTTCAAAACCCCTAACGCGTGTGGGGAACGTGAGGGCAGGGCCCCAGGGTAGACTCATGCCGGGAGGAGCCCCAGGTCTTGGCCTGTGGAGGGACACCTCTGGGAGCCCCTGTCAGAGGAGAGGGGCACAGTCTGAGGAAGAGAAGTTGTGGGGTGGAGGGTCTCAGAGGCCTGCTTCTGAGGCCCGTTGGGACCAGGACAGCTGTGCTCATGAGAAGACCTGCAGGAAGCGCTGACGCGGCGAGTGGCACGTGCTGGGCTGGGCTCCAGAATCCAGCTTGTGTCTTGTTTTTGGTCCCAGACCCACTGGCGTATGAGCCGAAGGAGGACCTGCCTGTCATCACCATCGACCCGGCCTCCCCGCAGTCACCCGAGTCTGTGGACCTGGTGAACGAGGAGCTGAAGGGCAAGGTCTTGGGGTTGAGCCGGGATCCTGCGAAGGTGGTCGAGGAGGACGAGGAGGACGATGGGGGTATCATGATGCGGAGCAAGGAGCCTTCGACCCCAGGAACCGACGATGTCTTCACCCCCGCACCCAGTGACAGCCCCAGCTCCCAGAGGATACAGCGCTGCCTCAGTGACCCAGGCCCGCACCCTGAGCCTGGGGAGGGAGAGCCGTTCATCCCTAAGGGGCAGTAGCGCCAGAGCCAGCAGGCAGCGCCCGTCCCCTCACAGACTCTCCCACCAGAGCAGGGGCTGCTGGGGGCTCCCCTTGCCCTTCCTGACCCGGATTGGCCCTGCCCCTCCCCCTACCGCATGGCAGCTGGGCCCACAGCCCCCACCCCAGCACAGCTCCCCGCCACCGCCTCCTGGGAAGCATCCGCCCCACCAGAGCTGCCTCCCCAATCCATTTGGCAGAACTGCTGGGGCTGGTGAGGCCGGCTCTGCCTCTCCCTAGATCCAGGCTTCTCCCGGACCTGGACTAGGGCCTCGGAGGCTCCTCCCTCTGCCTCATCCTCCTCCTCATTCAGACCAATCTTAGTTTCTAACCAAAGAGTCTCTGGCTCAGCCGTGGTCCCACCCAGGAAGGGAGGGAGCTGAGGCCTCCCTCGAGCAGGCCCTGCTTTATTAGGGGACACGCCAGGGGTACCAGTCACATGGCTGGGGGAGGGACTGCTGACCCACCAAGGTCTCACACTCCTGCCAGCTCTGTCACCCTGGCTACCACCCCAACCTGTCCTTACTCAGAGCTGCGGGCTGAGGGCATCTCTGAGCGTCTCTGCCTGGAGCAGGGGTGGTTTCTAGGTCGACAGTGACGTGACTCAGAGCTTTCCGAACTGTGCTCCCATGGGGACCACTGGGCCCCTCAGGGGATGCTGCTGAGGGAAGGACTGGCCGTGGCTCCAGAATGTGCTGCCTTTTTAAGTTTCGTTTGTTCACACTTCTATATATGATTGTTTGCACGGAGGGCACTCCTGTTTTTTAAAACATTTTGAAAACCCCTGGCTGAACAGTGCTCTGCCTCTAACTCCTCACACTCCAGGAATTACCCTTCTTCATTTGTGCCTGTCTGTCCAACCCCGTCCCCCATATTTCTCTGCCTGCTGGGCTCTTAACTATTGCCCGAAGACTGTGACATCAGAAGTAACTCCCACTCCTAATCAAGAGTCTCTCCAGCCTCACAGATGCTGGCCTCTTGGCACCTGCCTAGCTCTTGGGCCTGACCTCCAGTCCTGCTGGCCTGCTCTTACTTCCCCCACTCTGGGTTTGGCCCCTGGAACCTTTCCCTCGTGTGTACCACACCCTGCCTGCCGTGGAGCCCATTGTGGAGGCGGTCGGGGGTGGGGGGAGAAGGCCTCCCCTGAGGATCTCCTGTCCCCCGGGGCTGGTGGGTTGGGCAGAATCCTGGGCCCCCAGAGACCTTTGCTCACACACACTCCTTCCCCCTGTCCCTGGGGCACTCCCCCAGGATTGTGCAATAGTCAGAGTGTCCCTCTTTGCAGGGGACTGGGCCATGGGTCCTCGGCCCATCTGTCCATCCTCCTCTCCATGCAAGTGCTGTTTGGGCAGGAGTCACCATGCAAGGGTGACGTCGACAACCATGTACCAAGCCACCGCAGCTGCTGCCACTCTGCCGCCTGTACAGAAGAAACTGAATCTTTTTCATATTCTAATAAATCAATGTGAGTTTTTAATAGAGTCAAGGGCTGCTTCCTGGGGACAAGGGTCTTTAGGAGGGAGAATGGCCTGGGGGCCTGAAGTACTTAGTTCAAAGGCTGGCACAGAAACACTTCATGGCTGTCAGCTGCTGGGATGATTGTTCCCACATGCCAGGCACTGAGATACTGCAACAAGCTAAGCAGGATGTGCCCTGCCCCGTGGGGGAGAGCGGCACTAACCAGTGCCAAGTGTTTGTGCAAGAGGTGAATAAGAGGCAGAGGAGAGGGAGGGGATGGCGAGGAGGACCCTCCTGAGTCCCGAGTGAGTGATATCCCCAGGAGGGGACTGAAGAAGGAGCTGAAGCCTCCGGGTGGAAAAGGACCCAGAAAGTTCCCAAACATTGTAACTGGGAGCTGTGCCCACGAACACTGGGACCTGAGAAAAAGCCAGGTGGCTGGGTCAGAGTGACAGGGGAGGCAAGGATGGGGCCTCGTGTTCCACGGCTAAGATTTTGCTCTTAACCGTGGGAAGACCAAAAGGGCAGTGGGAAGTCACTGGAGCCCTCAAGTTCTCACCTGTAAAGTGGGGACAGTGACCCCTGCATGAGATAAGCTCGGGTGTGTGCAGACTGAGCATCCCTAATCAGAAAACCCAGCACAATGCCACGAATGGAGAATGCACATCTGACCTCATGAGACAGGTTGCAGTCAAAACTTTGCTTCATGCGCAAAATTATTTAAAATATATAAAATTGGGCCGGGCGTGATGGCTTATGCCTGTAATCCCAGCACTTTGGGAGGCCAAACTGGGCGGATCACCTGAGGTCAGGAGTTCGAGACCAGTCTGGCCAACATGGCAAAACCCCATCTCTACTAAAAATACAAAAATTAGCTGGGCATGGTGGTGTATGCCTGTAATCCCAGCTACTCAGGAGGCTGAGGCAGGAGAATCACTTGAACCCAGGAGGTGGAGGTTCCAGTGAGCTGAGATCGAACCATTGCATTCTAGCCTGGGCAACAGAGCAAGACTCTGTCTCAAAATATATATATATATATATATATATATATATATAACATTGCTTTCAGGCTATTTGTAGAAACTGTATATGAAACAAATGAATTTCATGTTTAGACTTGGATTCTATCCCCAAGATATCTCATTATGTATGTACAAATATTCCAAAATCTGAAACACTTCTGCTTTCAAGCATTTGGGGTAAGGATCGCTCAATTCCTAATGGGGTGGATTCAGCAGAGGCTGGAGCCCTGAGGTGCATTTCCTGGATCCAACCACCAGAGGGCAGTGGGGCCTTGGCACGCACCCCAGGCACCCTTCGAACCTGGGCTGTCCAGGAAAGCATCTCCTTTGCCCTGGCTGGGACCTGAGTATGGAACTGGTTTGACTTACAAAATCTGAAGTGGTTAGTTTCAAGAGGATTACAGGGTTATTATTAAAGGATTATTCCTGTATCCATCCGTTCCCTAGCAGGAAATGGATGTTACAGCCATCCCTCCATATTTTCCAGGGATTGGTTCCAGGATCCACATGGAAACCAAAATCCTTGGATGCTTAAGTTCCTGATGTAAAATGGTGTAGTGCTGTTGGCCCTTCATGGGTTCTGCATCCATGGATTCAACCAACTGCAAATTGAAAATATTGGGGGAAAAATTTCAAATAATAAAGTGTAACAACTATTTACATAGTATTTACGTTGTAATCTAGAGATGATTTAACGTATATGGGAGAATGGCTGGGCACGATGGTTCACACCTGTAGTACCAGCACTTTGGGAGGCCGAGGCAGGTGGATCATTTGAGGATACGAGTTTGAGACCAGCCTGACCAACATGGTGAAACCCCGTCTCTACTAAAAATAAAAAAATTAGCTGGGTGTGGTGGAGCATGCCTGTTGTCCTAGCTACTGGGGAGGCTGAGGCAGGAGAATCACTTGAACCCAGGAGGTGGACTTTCCAGTGAGCCGAGATTGTGCCACTGCACTCCAGCTTGGGCAACAAAAAAATATATATGGGAGAATGTATGTAGGTTATAGGCAAATACTACATTATTTTATATAAGGGACTTGAGTTTCCATGAATTTTGGTACCTGGGAGGGTCCTGGAACCAATCCTCCATGGATACCAAGAGATGAATACATTTGCATATAACCAACACTCATCTTCCCATATACTGTAAATCATCCATAGATTACCTATAATACCTAATACAATGTAAATGCTGTGTAAGTAGTTGTCGGCTAGGTATGACGGCTCACTCCTATAACCTCGGCACTTTGGGAGGCGGAGATGGGCAGATCACTTGAGCCTAGGAATTCAAGACCAGCCTGTGCAACAGGGTGAAACCCCATCTCTACAAAAAATACAAAATTTGCTTGGGCATGGTGGTGCATGCCTATGGTCCCAGCTACTTGGGAGGCTGAGGTGGGAGGATTGCTGGAGCCCAGGAGGTCGTGACTGCAGTAAGCCATGTTCACGCCACTGCACTCCAGCCTGGGCGACAGCAAGACCCTGTCTTAAAAAAAAAAAAAAAAAAAAAAAAAGTTGTTATACTGGTTTTTAAAGTTGTATTTTTATTGTATTGTTATTTTTTGTTTACTTGTTTTTATGTTTTCAATTTGTGCTAGGTTGAATCTGAGGCTGCAGAACCCGAGGGTACAGAGGCCGACTGTATATTCAAAGGGGTACCAAGAGCCTTCAACTAAGGGATTAACTGGAGATGTGGGCAGGGTTGTGGGAACCTACCAAGGATGGGACCCAGCAGGGCTCACGCTACAGGAAGCCGTTACAACCCATAGAGCTGAAAGGGCAAGAGGAGGGAGCCCTCATCATGGGAGGGGACTGCCCAGCTAGAGCTGTGGCCATGTTTACAACAGCCCCTGCCAGAGAGGGCGTCAGGGAGGTTGGGGGTGGACAGGTTTCATCCTGATGGTGCCTCCCACTGGCCAATCCCAACTGAAAGCCCGAAGGGAAGGCAGCCAGAGCAGGTTGGCCCTTCATCAAATGGGGCGTGTGGATGTGGAAGGGAAACGAGATCCAAGCAGGGCTATTCCTTTTACCCCTCTGCACCCACTCTTGTCCTTTGGGTGAAAAACTCATGTCCCTGTTGCTTAATGGTTGCAGAATTTCTGTTTGGGATGATGAAAAAGTTTGGGAAATAGGTTGTGGTGATGATTGCACAACATCATGAATGTACTAGACACCACTGAAGTATTTGCTTTAAAATGGTTAGTTTTATGTTATGTGAATTTCATCTTCATTTTTTTTTTTAACGGAAGGAACAGTCTCATCAACACCATCAACCTTGTCAGATTCACCCTGTTCTTGTTAACCTTCAGTCATACTCACCTGGAGCCTAACTTAACACATTAGTCATCAACAGGGCTTATTTATTTATTTATTTATTTATTTTTGAGACAGAGTCTCGCTCTGTTGCCCAGGCTGGAGTGCAGTGGCGCAATCTTGGCTCACTGCAAGCTCTGCCTCCCGGGTTCACGCCATTCTCCTGCCTCAGCCTCCTGAGTAGCTGGGACTACAGGCGCCTGCCACAACGCCTGGCTAATTTTTTGTATTTTTTTTTTTTTTTTTAAGACGGAGTCTGGCTCTGTGGCCCAGGCTGGAGTGCAGTGGCCGGACCTCAGCTCACTGCAAGCTCCGCCTCCTGGGTTTACGCCATTCTCCTGCCTCAGCCTCCCGAGTAGCTGGGACTACAGGCACCCGCCACCTCACCCGGCTAGTTTTTTTGTATTTTTTAGTAGAGACGGGGTTTCACTGTATTAGCCAGGATAGTCTCGATCTCCTGACCTCGTGATCCGCCCGTCTCGGCCTCCCAAAGTGCTGGGATTACAGGCTTGAGCCACCGTGCCCGGCCAATTTTTTGTATTTTTAATAGAGACGGGGTTTCACCGTGTTAGCCAGGATGGTCTCGATCTCCTGACCTCGTGATCTGCCCACCTCGGCTTCCCAAAGTGCTGGGATTACAGGCATGAGCCACCGCGCAACCGGGCTCTTTAAATAAGACAGTGGGGCATGCAAATAACAACAGAAAATTGCTACAGCCCCCACTTTGGCAGCTGGTCAGCAGGCCCAAGTTAGCAATCACAGCATCCTTCCTCCACCCCCACTTTCCTCTAACCATGTGCCAGCACTTTGGTTGACTGGGGTTTTTATAGGTGGGGTGTCCTAAACCTTTACTCCTGTGCAGTTCAGCCTCTTCTGGTCTTATGTTTGTCACATTTCCCCTTCCCTGTCAATACTGGAAGGGGGACTGGGGGGACTGAGGCACCTGGTGAATCCCCTCTTTTCTGTCATTGTCTTCTGCCCTCCCCACATTGTGTAGCAGGAACGTATTTTCCTTCTGGCAATCCTAGCTAATCACCCTGTCAGGTACAGGACAGTTGACCCTCTTCTCTGCCTTTTAGTTAAGCAACATGCAGACCTCAAAATGACCAGAGGAGAACACTCTACTTCCAATTCTTTTTTTTTTTTTTTTTGAAACGAGTCTCGCTCTGTCACCCAGGGTGGAGTGCAGTGGTGTGATCTCAGCTCACTGCAACCTCCGCCTCCTGGGTTCAAGTGCTTCTCATGCCCCAGCCTCCCAAGTAGCTGGGATTACAGGCATGCACCACCATGCCCGACTAATTTTTGTATTGTTAGTAGGGACGGAGTTTCACCATGTTGGCCAGACTGGTCTTAAACTCCTGACCTCAAGTGATCCACCCACCTCGGCCTTCCGAAGTGCTGGGATTACAGGCGTGAGCCACCGTTCCTGGCCTCTCTACTTCCAATTCTAAAGGAGTCATATTCACATTCCCTGGAGGGAGTGTTCCTCCTTTGAGCATTAAGCTCACACACTGAACACAAAATTGAGGGGATAGGAAGCCAAAACTCCTCCAGTAGGTAATTGAGAATAGTGGTGAGAAAAGCTACTCCCATATCCATCCCTTGGTCCCTGGGCCTGTGTATTTCGGTTGTCAAAGAGGTAGGATCATGTATTAGCCACTGATTTCAAGCGTGTGCTGCCTCCTACCCATCAACAGCTCAGCTGCGGAGGTTGTCTCCCACCTGGCGCTGTAACTCTGTTCTGCCCAGTCAGCTTCTTCTGGTTGCAGGGCCTGTTTTAAGACCAGTGTGTTCTGGGCCGGGCGCAGTGTCTCACACCTGTAATCCCAGCACGTTGGGAGGTCGAAGTGGGCAGGTCACTTGAAGTCAGGACTTCGAGACCAGCCTGGCCAACATGGTGAAACCCTGTTTCTACCAAGAATATGAAAATTAGCCGGGCATGGTGGCAGGCGCCCATAATCCCAGCTACTCAGGAGGCTGAGGCAGGAGAATCACTGGAACCAAGGAGCCAGAGGTTGCAGTGAGCTGAGATCACGCCACTGCACTCCAGACTGGACGACAGAGTGAGACTCAGAAGAAAAAAAAAAAGGAAAGAAAGAAAGAAGAAAGAAAAGAAAAGAAAGAAAAAAGAATAAAGAAAGACTGCTCTCTTCATGACAGGGGGTCGGTGTAATCAATCTGCCAGTAGGTGGCCAGCTTGCCCCCTTTTGTATTTTTTGCATTTTTAGTAGAGACGGGGTTTCACAGTGTTAACCAGGATGGTCTTGATCTCCTGACCTCGTGAACCGTCCGCCTCAGCCTCCCAAAGTGCAGGGATTACAGGCGTGAGCCACTGCGCCCGGCCAAGCTCCCTATTTGTAATGTCACCTGATTAGCAACCTTATTCCATCTTCTGCCTTAATTCACCCTTTGCAGCTGGTCACAGTGGCTCACGCCTGTAATCCCAGCACTTTGGGAGACTGAGGTGGGTGGATCTCTTGAGGTCAGGAGTTCGAGACCAGCCTGGCCAACGTGACGAAACCCGGTCTCTACTAAAAATACAAAAACTAATTGGGCATGATGGTGGGTACCTGTAGTACCAAGCTACTTGGGAGGCTGAGGCAGAAGAATCGCTTGAACCCGGGAAGTGGAGGTTGCAGTGAGCTGAGATCGCACCACTGCACTCCAGCCTGAGTGAGAGAGCAAGACTGTGTCAAAAAAAAAAAAAAAATCACCCTTTGCCGTGTACCATGCAACATATTTAGTTCTAAGGATTAGACCATGGACATTTTTGGAGTGCTGTTACTCTGCCTACCACACCAGACATAGCCAGTCATCCCTGCCACCATAGCATGTATACGGGCCCATTAAGCAAGAACCAGGGTAGCTGGGAATAGAAGTTGCCATCTACAGGATGGGTCACCTTGTCCACCTCATTACTGAGGGCTTCTCCACAATAGATGCCCTCTCGGTACTTGTGCGTGTTAAAATTAGCTTCACCACCTATGCCCATTTCAAGCAGCCCATCCATATTTCTCTCCCTTATACCTGCTCATCACCCATCTCTCAGTCTTGTGATTTGTAAACCCCTAACCAGCCCCTAACTTGTTAGCCACTGCTCATGAGTCAGTGTGGATCTGCCCCTCAGGTCATCTTTCCTTCTGTGCAAGTGGATAATCCACACAGTCAGAGGTTCTGCCCGCTGGGACAGAACCTTCATCGCTGTCCTGCAGGGACACCCTGAGTGTGGCTATAATGCAGTAGCTGTCTCTTTGCAGTTGTGCTGAGGTACCATGCAGACTCATTTAGAAATCATGTCTGTGCTTTTTCCTCTGTGTTAACTGGTCATAGCAACTTCAGCAAATTGGGTAGAGGAAGAAACAGTGAAGCAATAAGGGTAGGTGCCCTGGGAATTTGAACCACCTGCTCATGCAATTTCTTTGTGCCTTCTGGACTTGCTCAGACCTGATCTTATATATGCTATTCGGTAATAGAATGCCATTCCTAGTGCTGGCAACTGGTTGAGAGAGGGAGAGAAAAGAAAAACAATAGAACAGTACCATGCATGTCCAATCTTACAATCAGGTGGATCAGATCACATCTACTTCTGGTTGCGTGGGTCACTTGGTGTCCCACAGTCAGGCATTCCACCTTCACCGTGTCCAGTTGTGAACCAGGAGCTGTTTATTTTTTTATTCATTTATGTGTTGAGACAGAGTCTTGCTTTGTCACCCAGACTGGAGTGCAGTGGTGTGATCTCGGCTCACTGCAACCTCCGCCTCCCGGGTTCAAGCAATTCTCCTGCCTCAACCTCCTGAGTAGCTGGGATTACAGGCACCCGCCATCATGAGCACGGCTAATTTTTGTATTTTTAGTAGAGATGGGGTTTCACCATGTGAACTCCTGACCTTAGGTGATCTACCCGCCTCGACCTCCCAAACTGCTGAGGTTTCATGCGTGAGCCACTGTGCCTGGCCAGGAGCTGTTTTTTAAATGGTGACTAGTTCTTGGTAGAAGAAGCATAACTTAATCTCAAACCTAATGGTCAGTAACTGTACCGTGATTCTCCTGTTGGAGCTTTTCCATACAGCATCATCTGCTACAGTCACTTCCAAGTCTTAAGCTCATGTGACAGGCAGCTTGCTCTGCAGCCTGGACCTGTTTCAGACCCTCACCTTGCTCCACGCCTCACTCAAAACTTACAGTCTTATGGGTTTTATAGTAAATGGGTAGAGCAGCAAGCACAGCTGAATGTGGTATGTGTTGGCTCAAAAATCCAGAGTCCCATCAAAGATTTTGCCTCTTTCTTTGTAGTGGGCAGTATAAGGTACAGCAACTTGTCTCTCCTTTTACAGGAAATATCCTGACATGCCATGCCCCCCCCACCACTGGATCTTCTAGAAACTTCACTGACATGGCATGTTGCTGAGTTTTTGTGGAGTGTACCCCCTTCAGTTGGCATACAATATTTTACTAAGAAACTAGAGTGCTTGCAATGGCCTGCTCACTGGGGCCAATTACCATAATGTCATCAATGTGATGGGCCAGACTAATGTTCTGAACTATGTCAAGATGATCAGTGACCCTTTGGACTAGATTATGATTGACATCATGAGAGCCGGCAAAGCCCCGAGGCAACAGAGTGAAGGTGTACGGCTGTCCCTGCTACACCAAGGCACACTATTTCCAACTATCTTTAGTTAGCGAAATAGAAAAGAAAGCATTTGGGGATTGAAGATGCACACCAGGCCAGGGGCCATGCTGATTGGTTCCAGTAAAAATCTCATGTTTGGGACCACAGCTGCAACCGGCATTGCACCTAACATTTTTCGGGGGGGAGGGGGGGGCTTTTTTTTAGATGTAGTCCCCATTCGCCTCTGGGACACCATGATTAGCCGTGGCACTGATGCCTGAGGGCTGCTCCTTCCCTGAGCTTTATCATAAAGAACCTGGTCTCCAAAGTTCATTGGCACCATCGGGCCTCCCCCACTGCTGGGTCTGAATGTGGCATAGGTTGCCTTAAAAATCCAGAGTCCCGGCCGGGCGCGGTGGCTCAAGCCTGTAATCCCAG